AACTTATGTCGACAGAGCAAGGCTCTTGCTTTGTCTCAAGCTTCCTCGTGAAAGTGTGCCCACTAACTCATAATGATGAGGGACATGCCCCACAATGGTGAAAAGGAAGGTCGACAGGGAAGAGTCAATATTTGGCAGGGACAAGCCTCATTTGGATTTTCATTCGCAATTTTCGTACTTCTCCTCTGCAATAAATCTCTGCATTTTGCTGCATTAAATTTCTGTGAGAAAGAGTGTAAACACTTAGTATGTTCGTTGTGCAAACAATTTGTAGTGCTCCGTATTGTTTTTGTTGTTGATCATTTTATCTTGGGAGATAGACGTCCACATTCTGAAAGCACCGTGGAGAGGACGAATCTGTCTTGAGGACACAGTGTTAAACACTGGACTTGATCAGAAAATTTGTTCAGCATATTAATTTGGTAAGTAATTAATTTATTTTCTGTTTTATTATTTTTTCTGTTTCAGATTTTCATTTTGTTTTTGTAACAAAATAAAAATCTATTTTGTTGATTTTATTTTATTTTCTGGTTTGATTTTTGTAATCAAACAAATTCTCTCATTTCCTTTATTTCTTCTGTATTCCGTTTGTTATTAAGTACATAAACAGAATTTATTTTAAAAAATACAGTGAAGATTGTCCAACAAAGAACAAAAACCCGATTCAACTAAAATATTTGACTTAATAGAGCCATTTTTCTAAAAGTGACAACGAATATTGAAATTGCTTCATAAAATTTGAGTAATTGCTTAAGCCATGTAACATGTGTGGATTTGATGGAGGTGGAATAGTGAAAAGCTGCATTTTATGCTTTAACAAAACTATTTTTTGAATCTAGGTTTGAACGTTTTGGATCCTGAACACTTCATGTTGTCGGTGATGAAATTTGGTGATGGTTTGTGGTTAAGAAGATGATGAATCTAAAGTGTGTGGTGGCAGTGGGGACTAATGATGGTAATGGTGTAGTGGTGATGGTTGTTTGGTTGAGAGATGAGAGCGGATAGTTCGGGTGAGAGTGGAAACTAGAAATGGTGAGTTTGAATCTATAATTTGAAATTAAGGGTCAAATTGTAATTTTTTAGCTTTTTCCATTTAAATATAACAACAAGGGCCAAATTGATCATGATTTAAATAGGTGAGGTGGTAAATTGACAATATCAAAAGTTCGAGTATGAAATTGATTAGAGGGATATAGTTTATGGGGGAAAACGAAATTTCCTCAACATAATCCCCTCATAAAAAAAAAAAAAAAAAAAAAATGTAGCTACATTTTTTCATTATCACGTTTAGATAAGTAGGAAAGTAAAACATATAAGAGAAATATAAACAAGATTTTTTTTTTTTTTCTTTAAGGGATAATCTCAGTATTATAAATATTTCATAATTAATGGACATGTTCCTTATTAAATCTTACCACTTTTGGTAAAAAAATTAAAAAGGAGACTTGTGTGTAGGTACTAATAGGTAGACTTATTGTCTAATAAGTCTTATGATAATTAATGGCGTTTTTCATCATACACTATTAAAAATTGTTACTAACTGTTAATTTTCAGTGACAATTTAAAAATTACCACAAAAAATGTCACTAATTATAAGTTTTAGTGACATTTTAAAAAAATCATCACAAAAAAAGTCACTAATTTTCAACTTTCAACGACAGTTTAAAATTGTCACAGTCAAATGTCACTAATTATAAGTTTTTAGCAATAATTTATAAAAAATTGTGATGAAAATAAGTCATTAACTGCCAATTTTTAGTGACACGCAAAAAATAAAATAAAAAATTATTTTTAGTAACGATTTTATTAGGACTTATTTTCAATAGTGCTTGATGGAAATTAAGTTTAACTATTATAACCTATTAATAGTTTACCCAAAATAAAATAGACAAATAAGAAAATATTTTTTTCACCATTTATTACTAAATTTATAAACTAAATATAAAAGAGAGTTCTCTTTTTTCATTATTGTTCACCAAATAACTCAGTCCAAACCAAGTGTTAGTTCACTGACAGCTGCTTTCACCTCTCTCACACGTGCCTCCATTGATTTCAAGGCATGTAAGTTCCAAATTCAATTGATTTGTCATCTTTTTATTGGATCTTGCTATTGATTTGTGATTTGCTATATATGAATGACAAATAAAGATGAATATGACTACCACATAGTCATTCTACAAATAAAGATGAATATGCAAAGCTGATCAAAAAAAAAAAAAAAAAAAAGATGAATATGCAAAGCAGAGTCATTGAGTATCAGGCGCGGAGGGAGCATGTGACCAGGGGTCACGTGCCTCCCTGGATTTTGGGAATTTTTTTTTTTTTTTTTTTTTTGCTAACATAAAAAAAAATTAAATAAAAAATTACAAAAATATTATTGGAGTGACATGTCAATGACATTTTAAAAATTATGAAAATAATAATGATTATTTTGATTGAAAATGAATAGACTATTGTAAATAAATCATATTAGTTATGAAAATTTTTTAATGTAACGATGATATCATTATTAGTGATATACAAGTATAAGTAATCTCACTATAAAGATATGAAATTTATTAGATTGTTAGTTACATTTGACATGTGAGGTTCACTATTTATGCGTTTATTTACCATGAGTGCGTGATATTACATACCAGTGATGACGTGGTATTACCATTATATTGAATTTTTAATCAAATTTTGTATCAAAAAATAATTTATCATTATATAATTTATTTTAAGGCTTATATCCATATTTTTTTTTGTATTGTCCATGATACACTAGTTACAAATAATATTTTTTTTCTTGATGTTTCCTGAAATCAATCGTAAAAAATTTACGTCAAATATTTTTATAAAAATTATTATAATTAGTAAGTACCCCCTCTAAATTAATTTTTTGATTCCGCCACTGTTAAGTATCCATTTTGCTCTATCTCAATATTAAACTCTTGTCGCTCTCTCTCTATCTCTTTTTGTTTTGTTTTTTTTTTTTTCATTATTTTATAGATACATACATATGTATACATATACATATATTATTTGGCATGTGTTTGGTTGATTTGGTTGTTGCAGATCCTGCTTGAGGAAAGGAAGAAGGGGTTTGAGGGTGGGGATGACAGAAATTCAGGTACTGAATTTATTAAATTTAACAGATTATTTTGCATAATATTCTTCATATATATTACACTAATCAATTAATAGGTTGAAAGCGGTTTGATTACGGATAGCAAATTTATCAATTTGTTATCTACAATTTTATTATAATTTTATCGTCAAATCGCATCAAACCACACTACACACACCCCTAGCATGGAGTATTACTCCGAGAACATTAGATAATTTCTCACAAAATAAACAAAAGAAAATAAGTAAAAAGAATTCAGAAAATATTATCTATGTTAGACAAAACCTTCCTTGTCAACCAACTATACAAAATAGGCTAAATAACCAAAACAATAATAATATTACTACCTTAAGCCTATATAGAAGCATCTATAAAGTATGAACACCTCTCTAGAGGTCACATACAGATGTCGGACATGGGAGGAAGTGACCCTGGGACACACACTGTCCTATTTATTTATTATAATTATTTAAATCATTAGAGTAACATACCCAAAGTTAATAAATTTAATGAGAATAAATATATAACATATAATAAATTTGTAAAATTATATATTTAGCACGTGTCCTGTGCATTTCATATCTTCTATTTTTTAAAATTTTAACTATTCATGCGTCTATAAGTCTGTATCTATGCTTCTTAGGTCATTATACTCTTGTAAAGGTCCTCTTGTAAAATGCTCCTAAATAAGCCACATCAAGCACAATGGAACTGAACACCACGAATTCTGCTTTGCTTAACCACCCTGCCTCCCCAATCCCCACCAACTACACAAAATACCTTCACATCTCTATGAAATACCCAGTCCCTTTTTTGGAAAATTCCTCCTCAACCCAACATCTCAAAAGCCATCTCTACCCACACCCCTAACATAATCTTCCATCAAGGCTTCCTTATCAAACCTAAGAAGCACAGACACTCCCGAGGTGGAGTGTCAACACTTAGTCAATTGCTACCCAACAAGTAATGTATTATTTGTTTATTTTTTAAAATTTGGACACACTTTGAACATTTGAACAAGCATATTAATCACCTACAAATAACGATTTGTTTTTGTAAGATAAGTACCTAGTCACACAATGATAAATGAAAAACAAAGTAGATTTATACAAATTAATCCCTCCTTTTGACCTCAAGAGTTAGAGTTTTGTTGTTCTGTATTTATCAGTGAATAAGATATTCATATAAATGATATATAATAACTATCTAAACTATGCATTTTGTGTCTCCCTACATGTCACGTCTTGCATATTTTAAAAGCTATTGTGTCGCCTGCCCGTATCTATGACCCTTAGTTGTCAACAACAAGAAGAAAATAGCAAGAAAGGCCCTATCAAGAGCCCCTTCTCAACACCACTTGTGTTTCCAAAACTTCACTCCATCCCCTTTAGATGTTATTAAAAAAAGTTTTACAATGACCTATGGTAGACAAATTTCTCTTCTACAAATAAATTTCCAAGATGCATATTTTTCAGTTCTTCAAACTACAGCACTTTTTATTTATCTTCTGCTATCTGCATTTTCAAGCGTCAAATTTTAACTTTCCAAAACCTATCTTGCCCTCTTAATATTGCTAAAAGTCTTTATTCCTCCTAATAAATTCTGAGATTGCACTCTTAAGCCATGACACCTAGCTAGAATGATAACAGTATACTCTTTATGTCATGACACGTGGCTAGAATCCTGTTGTGTGAATAATTAGAAAAAAGAAAAGTAACATAGAACCAGTTTGGTTATAATAAAAATTCACAATTGATCAATGCATCTCCTAAAGTCGATTGAAACTAGATGAATTATTTGTGTGAACTACAGATAATGTTTAAAAAAAAAAGACTTAGAATGATTGCAGAATAAAAGATCAGAAAAAGAAATAGAACATAGTGCAATGATGTTACAACAAAGGAGTGGATGATCTTATTATATTTGTCTAATTAAACATTACATAGTTATTAAAAATAACAAGGGATACTAAGAGAAATCCACACATGTTGTCTTGGTCAACAACAACAATAATAATAAAACATAAGAAAGAGCCATGCTGATTTTGGAGGGAGAGAAGGAGATGCCATTTTTTCTCTTTTCACGAAGTAAAAAACCAACCAAACGAAAATAAAAACCAACACTGACTAGAGAGGTATTCATCAGACAATTTCAATTTTGTATTTTTCAATCCCCTGCAATTGAATTTCCTTCAACCGTATGTGTTGGCGGTAAGACCAGAATCCATCAACTTCGATGCACATCTATATTTCCTATGACAAAAAATGCAACAAACATTAACAATGGAAAGAACTAAAATAAAAATAAAAAACATCTCACATTAAAAATACTAAAAAATTGTTTCAGATTTTAGAGTTTTTAGAGAAAATACTTTAAAATGTTTTAGAGGGAAACCTTGACAAAAGAAATTTGTTGTCTTTAGCATCGTGGAACCTGAATTGGAGTTCATCCAAGTTTCAAATCCAAGAATGAATTATGTTCCCTAAATTGGATTTATAGTGGTTAAATCAAGTTCATCTATAATATCAAAACATGTCGAGAGAAATTATTCATGAACCAAGAAATTAGTTGTATAGCTTGAAAATTTAGGGAGCAAACCTTGAATTGACATTTTTGGCATTTTGAGCTTTACTCAGACCTTTGTCTTTCACATGTGACTTGGAAATCTTGAAGACTATAGGTTTTGTAGTATAATCCTGTAGACTTGAATGAGAACTTGATATCGGGTATATGCCGAATAATCCAATAGTCGTCTCCTTCTTCCGGTTGCATTCTACCTAAGAACTTTATTGGCATATCATAAAAGGAAAGAGTTGCGAGTCTTTTGAGGTGGTGGAAGCCATAGGGTACCTCCTTCAGTTGCGGGCTAGGCCCAATCCATAGTTCTTCAAGAAGAGGCAACGCTCCATCCTCTATTACCATGGAATTCAATCGCTTCAAGCCTTGTAGATATAACACCTTAAGTTTTTGAAACCCTCCAACCTCAAAATGCAAACTCTGTCCATCATAACCCTGATAGATATCAAGCTTTAGTAAATTAGGCAACACTTGAAGGGATTTTATCGCATTAGCGGTCAAACCTGACCAGTGTAGACGTATTACGAATAGATGCTGTAGGTTTGGGATCCAATCTGGCAACGTCACTAAATAACCCCCCATGTAGAGACGTTCAAGATATTCAGGTGGTGAAGAAAGAGAATGTAAATCCAGAATCTCATCTTCACTTTTAGCCCGTATCCCCAAAACCCTAAGGTGTTTCATCTTCTCAATGGCAGCACAAAGAACCCTCCAATTTTCTCTTCTCACTTTGGAAATGCCAAACTTCCGCAACTGCCTCAAATTTTCCAGCTCTTTAAAAACAAGGTTGCCCCATTCTTCTGCATCCACACCCCATAACTTTTGCAACTGTTCTAAACGCCCTATCGCTCCTTTTATTTTCACTCCTCTTATAGTATCCAAACTTATATCAATATCATAGTTATAAAAAACGGTTAGAAGATGTCGCAACTTATGGAGCCTATTGATCTCGATTGGTAGCTCAAGCACGAGAGAGCATCTCAAATTCAAAGTTTGCAGGTTTTGTAGCTTACCAATAGACTTTGGAATTGTCTTCACACTTGTATTCTTCACACTTAGGTATTGCAAATGAAATAGATTCCCCACTTCTTCATGTAGTTGATCTAGAGGAGCATCTTGAAGATCTAGTACTTTTAAAAGCTTGAAATTTGCAGCTAGTTCACCCAACGAGGACCTGTTTTTGGCAGCTCTCCCACTGCAAAAAGAAAAAAAGAACGAATTCGGGAAATATGTGTGCTTTCCTGAATCTCATCCATTCTGTTCTTCATATGCATTGATAGTCGTCGACTTTGATTATTGGGACTTGAATCCTCGTCTGCTAAAACATGGCAGAAACTCAACTCCTCGGACTTTGAGAGGATGATCTCACGCACTACATCATGAACCCGACAATTCTTAACTCTTCCATTAATTTTTGTACTTGACACTTGAACCAAGTTTCTAAGGATGAGCTCAATCAAGTATTCTTCTGCAACTTCTTCCAATGTTTTGCCTTTTTGTTCTTCAATGAAACCCTCAGCCATCCAAAGTCGGACTAGTCTTCCACAAGTGATAGAATAATCCTCGGGTATTATACCGAAGTACAAGAAACACGGTTTGAGGAAGTAAGGCAAATTGTGGTAACTAAGCAACACAATTTTTTTGATGCTTGTAAGATTAGGATTCCTTTCTAACTCAGAGCCAAGGCTATCATAGAATTTTTGCCATTCGGATACAACCCTATTTTTAGTGGACAGCAGACCCCCTATTGCCGCAATTGCAAGCGGTAATCCTTCACATTTTCTAACAATCTCGCGAGATACTTTCTCCAATTCGGAGGGACAAGCACCCCCAAAGTCCCATTGGAAGGCTTTCATACAAAAGAGTCTCCAAGCCTCGTTTTCAGGTAGGGATTGAATCTCATAAACATAATCAAGTGAAGATTCTTTGCAAAAACTAGCAACTTCTTTGTTGCGTGTGGTTATAATTACCCTACTTCCTTTGCTATTTTTAGGTAAAGCATGTTTTACGAATCTCCAAAAGTCTGTTCTCCAAACATCATCAAAGACAATTTCATACCTCTTTTGAAGTAAATATCCTCTAACGTTGTCAGTGAGCGAGTTTTGGTCCATAGCATCGATTCCCGGAGGTGGAGACTCATTTCTTGATTGGTATAGCTGCTTTATCAACATTCTGAGAATCTCCTCTATCTTGTATGATTGAGAAACAGTGATCCAAGCACGACAATCAAAATGCGCAAGCACTTTTTGATTGTCGTGAACTTTCTTAGCAAGAGTGGTTTTTCCAATCCCGCCCATACCTACTAGCAATATCACCATCCGATTTGTCTCTCCACTTACCAACATGTCAACCAATTCTTCTCTGGTGTATTCAATACCCACAACTTCATCTTCCTCCACGAAAAGCGAAGCGACACGAGGATCATCTTGATCAGCTTCACTGTTTGATGATTCATACCCACTAGCCTTTTTCTTGATCTCAACAATGGTTTGTTTAATTTCTTGAATCTTAGAGGCTATGTCATGTTGTGGCTTTAGTTTAACGATCGAGCGAGTGACTTTGTTGAGAAAATTGATGAAGCCGCGACGCTGACGACGTTCTGACAACTGAATCGTGTATTGGTCGAAGACATCCTCAATCTGTTGAGCCAACTCTCGAACTTGTTTCACCCAAGTTTTCGCATTTTCGTTTCCTGTTTCAGCCCTCCAATCTGCATCTTTTAGTATTGATTTTATGCTCTCCAATTCAGCTTTGATAATGGAAACTTCTCTGTGGACCTTCCTCAACAATTTTGGTTCATCATGCACTAACAATGCCTCCAAATTGTTGATAGTTGAGCATACTGCAACTTCTGCCATGTATTTTACTATTTTCTTTTTCTTTTTCTTTTTCTTTTTCTGTTTTTGGCTTCACTCAATACATGTAACACATATGATTCGCTTGCTATTATCATATATGCATTCAGAGTTTGGTTACAATATTGTAGGTTTTTAGTTCAATAATTGCTGATATGATATTGTATTTGACAATAAGTTGAAGGAAGACCAACTACCTTACCTTTCAGCTATTGGAGGAGTAGTTGGCCTATTCACATCAATACTTCTAGATAGTGAAGAAAAATAAAAATATTTATGAATAAAATTACAAAAATAAAAATAATACGTGAATCAGATTTAATGGAGTTAGGATTTCAATGTTGTGGGGGTGAACAAGAATACTAACAAAAATTTACAAGGAAAAAATGTATGAACTGAAATATCAATTTTTCTAGGCATAGAAATTGAAAAATAATATGAAAAAATAAATATATGTATATACATAAATGTTTATACATATATATATATATATATATATCCACATTGATTGATTTATAAAAGACAATAAGTGTAAGCCAATCTAAAATATGTTTAAAATATCTATAAAATATGTTTGAAATATTTATAATAGAATCGATATTATAATTAATGTGATCAAATAATTGATATTATTCGTCTTTTTTCTTCTTTGCATTAAATAATGTGATCAAATAATTGATGTTATTCGTCTTTTTTCTTCTTTGCAAGCTAGTGATTATAATTCACACTAGTTATGAGAAATAAATTTCTTTTATTATATATATTTATTTATTTGACCCTCATGTCTTCATAGATATAGAAGGACAATTACTTAATTTTATTTTTTAAACGTAGATGACACTCCACTTAATTTTATTTTTTTTAAAACAAAACTTGAGACAATTATGTATAATTTAAAAATAATTAATAATTAACAATATAATAGTAGGGCCTAACACCCAATTTCCTTCTTTTTTATCTTATTATTGTTCGTTGTCCATAAAAGTAGTCAATGATACCCAAGATAGGGCAGTTGCGAAAATTATTTTTGCGAGTTGAAAAATGTTAATGAGTGGTTGATGAATTGTAATGATAGTTGTGAGGGAAAACGATTTTCCAAATTTATAAGCAAAGCTTATTTGTTGTTTTATTTAACCTTATCGTTATTTTTTTGAATTGTTGTTTCTTGTATAATTGTAAATGGATTGTGGCATCACCATGGTGACAGGATCATTGGTTGGGTGACATTTGGGAGTCGTCAGTTGAAATATGTTTGATAAAAGAGTTTAGAATAGAGTTTTCCTATTGAGTATGACCTTATTTTTGCCCAAATTGAGAATTTATCGTTACGGATAAACTAGTGAGTAAATGACAAATAGTCATGAAAAGGACCTATTGAGTCTTATGATGTGTATAATCCTTAACTATTTCAAAAATAAATAAATAAATAAATTTTCAAACTCTTTACTTTTACAAATCACTTGTACACGTCTAAAATATTATATATATATATATATATAAGGTTTTTACCAAGAATAATCTCTTTTAATTTCAAAAGTCAGGAAATATTATTTTTGGGTGTTTTTGGTTCTTAAGTATTTCAAAAATGCAACTAAGTAAATATGTGGGTATGAAATACTAGTTTGTGTTGTAAGAACATAGTTCATGGTGCTTGGGTTTTGTTGGGTTGTGTTTTGTTGAAGGTCATAATTGGCGAATGGAACTCTTATTAGAATCTTTTCTTCTCATCAGAGGGCGTTGAGGACTTATGAAGTAGTGTGAGGTAATCGTTTGAAAATTTGGTTGCCGAGTGACCGATAGTTGTTTCTTGAGGTGTGAATGTGATGTGAGAGATTATCTTTCTAAGATTTTAGGTCGTTAGATAACCGAGAGCTATTCCCTTGAGTCCGAGTCTGTTTGAGACGTGAGTATTGTAGGGTATGTTAGTGACACCTTTTGCTTGATTTTTGTTTCGTAGGATCAATGGTCTCTTGTGGCTCGTAGAGGTAATTCTTGCGAATGAGTTGAAAGAGAGACATACCACTTTCGAATTGTTGTTCACATCATTTGAGGTGTTGTCACATCATTGTGTTACCTTATCTCCTTTTGTGGGAATTGTTTCTTGTTGTTCACCACGCAAAATCCTTTGTGTTGGGAGACTCTTCCAGAAACTTGTTATTGCATAGAGGTCATTTGTGATTAGTTGGTAAGAGTGTTAGTTCAAATATTTGTTCAATTTAGGTTCACCCAAACTTTAAATCTTAAAGTGACTAATTTTAGGCAGGAAATTTCCTAAGGTGGGGAGATTGTAACACTTCGTACTCCTTGGACTAGTAGGATTTCTTTTGACTCTCTTATTATTGTACTTGAAGCCTCTTTGATTGATTTTAGAGTATTGATTGGAGTGATATCATAATGGTAACGTAGGATTAAACCAAAAACATTGATTTGGATAATTGTCCTATGAACAATCTTCACTCTTTTTCCTTTTTATCTTTCCACACTTTTAATTTGGATGTGAGGCTAGAACCATTGGAATGCTTGTTTTCGGGTCTTGGATTTGGATACAAGAACGACCTAAAACGGAATCTGGACGAGGGAATTATGCTCATTTGAAATTTGAGTACATGTGCTGGAAGCAAGTCCGCTCGAGCGAACTTTTAACCGCTTCGAGCAATTTATGCGGGATTCTGAGATTATGGAAGTTTAATTTGACCGCTCAAGCCAAGCTTTGACCACTCGAGCAGTCTGTTCAAATTCAAGCACTTTAAAGTCACTTTTTGACCCAAACTTTTCATTCTTTCTTCCTCTTTTCTCTTCCTCTCCTCCATACCCGGAACCTTAGACCTCCAAACCCTGATTTCATCTATTTTTCACCAAGAATCCACCATAGATCTTACGTTAAAGATGAAGAACAAGTAAAGATCAACATTTTGACTGATTGAATTTTGGGTTTTTCAAAGGAATCTTCTTGATCTAGTTTCTCTACTTTTATCTTTGAGATAGGATTACTTTTAATCTTGTATCTCTTTATTTTGAGGGTGTTTATGTGGTGCTATTATGACATTGATGTTATAATTTAATGTTTGAGTTTACAAAATTGGGTTTTGTTTCGAAAATAAAATTTTCTCAACATTTTCTTATGATTTCTATTAATGGCTATGGATTATGAAGATTTTAGTTGGGAAATAACATTTAACATGATTTAGTGGTAAAAGTCCCAAATTTATGAAAACCCTAGTTATAAAATTTGGGAAAAAGATGAAATTGATTTTTAATTCTTTAAAATTGATGAATGGATTATGATATTTTAAAAGGCAAACTTCACTTTACCCCCTTGTGGTTTGGGCCATGTGCGGATTACCCCCCTGACATTCAGATATCACCACATAACCCCCTTGTGGTTGGTGGACTAAAACGCACCGTTCACTTTTCCATCCAAGTTAACGGGTTGTGTAGTTCAAACGCCCAGACATAGAGTAAGTCACATTTTATGACCAAAATACCCCTAGAACATCTTTAAATTTGCAAAGAAATGCCATGGGTCTTCTTCATTCTCTCTCTAAAATTACAACCCAAAACAAAAACCTAAATTAATTTAAACAAATTAATTTCTATCAAAAACATTCTATAGATCTGCAGGTTTTTTTTCTTTTGGGGGATTAGTTTGGGTCGAAATTTGCCCAGTAAAGCACAGATTGAATCCAACTCATTTCCATACCGTCCTGTTTTTGCAAACCCAATTTAAGAAAGTCTCCATTCATCACTGTCATGAGTTGATTTGAATTACCCAGAAACAATGAAATGAAGGTTGCTCGAATCGTTTTCACACCCTTTTGTGTTCTATTACTAATTGGCTGAATCAGAAGCCTCATAAACAACCCATTATCAATCTTATCTTAAACGAATTGCCATCGATGAACAAGCTCTATTGCGTTGTGATCCAATCCTTTCTCAACCCGAAAAACCGTCATAGTTTCCGGCACTGGAACAAGCCTAAATAATAGTGATGATGAGGAGGGGTTTGGGGGTGGAGGAGGTGTTAAAGTAGTGGTTGCGGATGTAAGATCGGAGGACGGTTGGGTAGGATGGGTTGCGGATGTCAAGGTTTGACAGTAGGAGGTTGAATCTATGGATGCCCATGGTGGTAAACTTTTCTTTTAATATAGTTTTATCTGAAGCGTCTTAACAGATTTTAGGAATATATATACCTAAATCAAGCCATGATCTAAATTCTTCTTGAATTTTACTTGCATTATATTATCCTACAAGGGTCAATTCCAGCACCATTGGGTTCAACTCCTCTTGATATGTGACACGATTTAAGTCAATCCATTTCATGCCCCAAAGGGTAGCTTAGCTTGTATGATAGCCCAGAAAATTAGGTCAACATAGAAGGAATTAACACGATACTATGAACTAGGCATGGTTGCTTCAAGTAAAATACATGAGATAAACAAGGGCTTTGAATTTCTCCGAATACCTCAGTGATACCTCAGCGATCTATGAATTTATGAAGTAAAATACCTCAGTGATCTATGAATTTCTCCAACTTCAACCTCAAAATTTCCATTCATTCGAACAGAGGCTTTGCATTCGAACTGGGTTTGATATGTATATATGTACACATAATCAAGAAAAAGAGGAAGATGAGATTGTATATGTATATATATGTATATGTATGTACACATATAAAGTTGAAATGGAGAGAGAGAAGAAGAAGATGAAGATGAAGAGAAATAGAATTGGGTTTCCCTGAAATAATATATATATATATATATATATATGAGGGTATAATTATCAATTTACAACTTTTGTTAACAGAAATTAGTGTGTGTTTTTTTCCACTGAAATAATATATATATATATATATATATGAGGGTATAATTATCAATTTACAACTTTTGTTAACAGAAGTTAGTGTGCGTTTTAGTCCATCAACCACATGAGGGTTATGTGGTGATATCCGAATGTCAGGGGAGTAATCCGCACATGGCCCAAATCACAAGGGGGTAAAGTGAAGTTTGCCCTATTTTAAATATGTATTGATTGAGACTTGTGAAATTAGAACCTCTTGAGATTTTTCTTGAATTATGAATATTGTTCCTCATTACTCCATTACATTACTTGAGTGGCGTACATTACCCTTTACCTGAAGAATGTATGAATACTTGGAAATCTTGGAAAGATTATTTAATGGGGTGGTAAATAGTATGTGGGTCTAG